GGTTATTATGATTTCATTAGCTAAATACACACCTACCACCCAGTATGCCAGTGGTCCTGCTTAAATATTTCTGACACTGATTAGATATCAGGCTTTAAAGAAAGCCTTCCCTAATATACTTTTAGCGCCACTTTCTCATCCACATATAAAGTAAACTCTGACTCCAATAAAACAACATGGTGATGCCCAAAATGCTAAAATTTCATTTTTTTCCAGACTATTAATATTTATAGCTCGGGCACAGCACTGTGAAGTATGAGGAACTATGGTGAGTCTTTCCAGACTCATTGGTCTTTTTTTTTTTGTATTGACCAAAATGTTGGTCAATTAAGCAAAGAAGTTTTTTTAATATACTTTAAGTTTTGACCTTGAAAGCTGGTAATGTGTCAGAAACCTCTATCTACATAGTCTGGGCACATTCATAGAATTTCATAATTCTCCATGTAATTGCCAACTTTGTGGCTTGCTCAACAAACTGCATTTTATACCTCTAACCATGCAGTGAAATAGAAGCCCTAAATGTTTCTCGTGCTCACTGTGTCCGAAGTAAGATGGGTTTTTTTTTTGTGGTATCCTACAACAGTTTGCAGTCAAGTACGCTAAAATTTCTCAGTCAGCACTGAATTAAGTCGTATGACATCAGTAAGAAAGATTTTATATGGTGTTTCACATTCACAGTTTCACTTGTGAGGGAAAATTCTGAGCTGTTGGTAAAAGCTCTAAAATAAAGAAAGTCATCCTCAGACATGTGTTCTCACACCCAGATCAGGATATAATGACAAATCAGTAACTCTGCTTTTTGAATGGCCTAACAAGTGCTTCATACATGCACTCCATGGACCATATTACACTCGACTATTATTTACAGGGATGATCAATGTTTTGATTTTGTCTGAAGATCTATAGAAATCCCTTGAAGCTACGATTGGTCAGTGTAACAGATATTTTCAGATATTTTTAAATATTGATCTATCATTATGGATTTTTTTAAAATAGTTGTGTCTCACTCTTCAACACATTTTAAACACAAGAAAGCTCATTTTCTACATTCTGTACACAAACAGCAATTAATGTCAATTAAAAGACAAACACAGTATAAAACAAATGCTTCATGTCTATTAAATTGTAGTAAAATCTTTACCCATAAAGGAGATCCATAAAGACCACCTAAACTCTTGTCTCCAATCCAAATATGTAGTCTAATGTCTTAAATGACCATGCGTCCACACGCTCTCGCTCGTGTGTCCATGCTTCATCTATAGTTCACCTCTTTCCGTCCTTATCACCCCCCACCAGCACAACCATCTCATTAAGTAGATGATGACTGAGGTGGAGGATGCTGATGTTTTTCCTTACTCTGAAACTGAGTTCCTTATTATAAGTTGTATGCACTCAGAGGGGCTTGCTGACGCACTGCCTCAGGAATTACCCAAAGTCTTTTATCAAAGCATTTCTGCATTGCTCTCTGCTACACATTAATCACAGATGTGCTGCTTGTCTCACTCCCAGATCACTATTTCCTCTTTCCCTCTCACTCTGGCCACAGAATAAATACTTTCATTGTTTTGTATAAAGATAGCACTGATTTGTTTATAGACACTGTATATATCAATACCTGCAAGAAATGCACGTGTTTAATTATTAGTCATAAGTCACGTGTTTCTAGGGCAAACCTGAGTGCATTTAGGAAAAAATGTTTTCTTGTTTATAAGTGAAGAGTGGCAGATTATCCAGTACAACCAAGAGAAAACCAACAAACACTGGTCATAAAGCTGTGAGGACAAAGAATGAGCTGAGTGTGACTTTTGCATTTACATAAATGTCATCTCAGAGTCTGCTGTCTGAACTGGGGCTGCTGAACGTGCTGCTAATTACCTTAAAGTTGATCGCCTGTGTGACAGCTATAAACTCAATGACATTTACATGTTTTGTAATTAATAAAAACATTTATAATTTTTTTTTTTTATCCATCCATTTTCTTTACTACTTTTCCACCTAAGGGACATAGAGGAAGGAGACATAATGTGAGCGATAGGATACGCCTTGCCCATCTCCAGTCCATCGTAGACAGTCAACCACCCGCTCTCACTTTCACACCTATGCCCAAATGAGAACCATCTTATCATATTCAACATGCATGTTTAAGGTCTGTGGGAAGCAATCAATGCAAGCACTAGATGAACACTCATAGTCTACACAGGGAGGCCCCAGCAGACCACAAAGTTCAAACCAAGAACCTTCTTGCTTGTGAGGTTACCTGCTAACCACTACACCACAGTACCATTTTTTAAATATGCAAATCATAATATCAGTCAAGCCACTGTAGGACAGAATCTATTACCAAAGGACTGATTGACAATAATTCAAATTGTAATTCATCTTTGAACGCTTTTTCTCTTATTGCATTCATTCAAATTATTTTGTGGGGAAATATATAACGAAAAAAATATAACGCAACATAATAAAACACATCATTTCTGATTCAGTATGTTAGACTTATATGACACGCTGGAATACAACACATGCTTCATGAACAGAAATGCAGAATATCAGATGTTCGGTGCAGGCAAGTGTGTGTCTGGATGAAAAATCCTTCATGAATTCAAAACTTTTACTAACAACTGGAAACATTAATTTTACGAGACCCATTTCAGAACACTATACATCACAGTTTGTATCTGTTTTTGCGGCGTTCATATCAAAGTCAGTAGTTCATTCTCCCACTGACAGCATCGTATTTAGCAGCCCTTTTGTGGCAGCACTTGTGTGTTTTACACATTTTGTAAACAACTGAGGAAATTAAACATCATTACATCCACTTTTCTAATCACGGTCGGTTCACTGGGGAGTTTTTGCAAACTGCTAACAGACTTTACAGTATCAGTAATTATCTAAAAGATCACTCTGGCATGATAAGAGATATTTGTCAGCTCTTATCAGTTTAGTTCAACACAAAATCTAAAGCTGTTAATGACTTTCGCCTATTAGGAAGAATTAATACCTAAATATACTAAGTTAAAAGCTAACAGATGATTTGACGCTGTGAGGAGTCGTGCTGTTTGTGTGACCGCGTGTACTGCAGTTTCCTATTAAAACTTTTCAGCTTAGTCAAATATTCATTTAATATGTTCTATTTTAAGATTTGTATCATATAAGTTTATATCTGTATATTAACAGAAAGTTATTTATTTTATATCTGACTCATTCTGGTACAACACTAATTTCAAGTCTTATAAGTGCATTTGTTGTTTCTCTCTTTACCTACGTTAGAATCTAGCTAACAGTTCAATCAAATGTTCAAATAACAGGAGAATCAAATATCAAGGAATCAGTATTTGTGGAAATAAAAGTATCAGAATGTGGAATTATTACTGAAGGTTTATAATCTCAGGAAAACGTCTTTTTTTCTTTTTTGCCACGTAGCATTGATGCCACCTTCCTGTGGCAATACCTTTTTCGTACCTGCACTCTAGCCTCGGTGAGGTTGACCCGGCGAGCCAGGTCTTCTCTGACGAAAGCATCGGGGTAGTGTGTCCTCTCAAACACTCTCTCCAGAGCTTGGAGCTGGCTGCTGTTGAAGGTGGTCCTGTTCCTGCGCTGCTTCCTCTTCTTCTTCTCCTCTGTGTTCATCTGTTCGTCTGCACAAAGAGGAAGAAGGAACTTTATGAATCAGAGGAACAGCTTCGTTCTGCTCAAGCATTACCCAAAAGATCAAACGACTATATAATTACAGTTATAATTGCAATTAACTATAAGTGTTATTGTAACTGTTATATTGTTATATAATTACAGCAGGAAGCTTTGTCTGCATTGACACACAACCGCTACTGCAGACTGTAAGACAGTTTGAGTCACAAATTAAAATTAATAAAACTGATCGATCGATTGATAGATAGCCAGATAGATACACTACCACTTAAAGACTGATGATTGAGGTCAACAAGTTGAGGTTTGTTTCTGCCCAGTTAGAGCAGAAGGTCATTTATTAAGTTTAATACGCAAAGAGCGACACAACGTATCATAGCATTTTACTAGAGGAAGACTTGACTTATTAACAATACCTTTTGTGGTTTATCCTTATCGTTATTTTCTTGTAAACAAACAATATTTATATATAAAACTATATATTATATATGAATATTTACCCTCATAGAAAGTACGATTTATTTTAAAAAGCTGTGAAATAATTTCTGGATCTGCAGAAACATGTCACTTGGCTCTTCACCTAACTAACTAGCACACAAGCCAAAAACAAAAGTAACAGAATCACTTTGGCAAAGGTGAATGTGTAATTCATTATGGGAGAGCTGCATGTGCTCAGCCTGATAGTTCCCACTAGGTGAAATCAGTGTTGGTGAATTGTGGCTGCACAACAGGACCACAAACTAACACTTTCACACAGAAAAATAAGGCTGTGATCTAAAGTGTTCCTAATTACATTCACACATACACACAGTCTGTAGTTATGTGCACACACATATGCAAAGGTAGGACGTTGCTCAATACACTCAAGTGTTTCATGCTACTTAGCAGTAATAACATTTTGAGAGATTTCAATCAACTGAGACAAAAAGAATCATTTGTGTTTTTGCTGCTACAGATTTTGTGACTCTGATTGGGATTTTGTATTCAGCACATTCGTTTTGTTGGGATAGTAGTTCTTTTTAAATGTGTTATTCTTTATTTTGGGGTTACACGAAATCCATAAACTTTATCTAATGAACAAGAATGGCAACTATTGGCCGTGTTTCTGGAAACATCTGTGTGTATTTTTTTAATGTAAAAATCATTAAGTAGAACTTTTATTGCAGTACTTTTTACAGACCAGTTTTTCTCTGAGCTTTCAGTCACATGTTCTGGAAATTTTTTGGAATACATTAAAAATTAAAAGTTATTCACAACATTCATCCATCGGGTAATGTGTTACCTGATGGAGCTGGCTGCTGTTGAAGAAAAGGTTTTACTCCTTTGAATCTTTATTTAAGTCTATACAAACTACTTCAACTTTCATGCTCATTTACAGTTTTATGCACTTTTTAAAAAAAGATTTCTGGAGCATGTTTGTTAGTAGAAATATGAACTTTCAGCCCAACACGGGATATTGTTGTTGTATTCATTCATTTTTCGCACACACTCCTGGCAGTGTGTCAAACATTACTCGATCGTCGAGTAACCTGTTTGTTTAGCTGTCAACGTTTCTTCTAAGAGTTGCTGTGAGTTAATTAGTCGATTGGCAAAAAGAAAACCAAATGTAAACTTGTTTACCTGCTGGAATCGAAAATGGAGCTCTTAAAATAAAAAGTGATGTCTGTCTGTAACTCTTAATGAATTTATTTCAGTCAAGCTGACCACAAAGTGTTTTCTTCTGCTGCTCCATACAAAGGATTTTTACAGACCTATACATTAAAAATAGCAAGAGGAAAAAAAGCAAAGACAGAAAAATAATTTGTTGTAAATAAAAAAAAAGTATTCTTGTGTGAATTTATGATTTTTTTTAATGTCCATATCTTTCACTTTATTTGCTTCAGATTTTGATCGTGTGCTGCTGTTGACCCGATTATTTGTTTTACTGCTGCAACCTCAGACTCAGAAGCTGAAACCATGAACAGTTATAAGTACAAATAATTATGATTTTTATGGTTGCAGTACACAGCGTTTAAACACAATTGCTACTGCAGGCTGTAAGACAGTTTGAGTCACAAATAGATGTGTGTGTGTGTGTGTAGGTGGGGTGGGGTGCTGAAGGGCTGGAATGACAATGTTCATTTTGGTTTCTTTGAGCCCTTTAAATCGGTTCTACTTCACATTTGAGGCCAACCCATATACTGAGGAGGAGAGTGCAAAGATGCTTTATTAAATTGCTTAACTAAAACAAATCCATGAAGTGATATTTTATTCCTTAAGTGCTTGAAAGTGATAAAAGGCAGTAGCTACTGTATTCATATTTTTTGCCTTTATTTTATGCGCTAAATGCCTTATAAATACCTTAAACCTAAAACTACAACTACCCCCATCCTTTGCTCTTCTTCTTCATAATCCAGTTAATCAGACTGGCATTGTGACCTTTTGTGGGCATCCTGCCACCATGAGGTTTAAGCCAATAGATTTTACTAATGACATCTTCATTTCATTTCTATTGAAAATAAAACGTAAATCTGGGAAGGAAGGACTGAATCCACAATGAGAGTAGTTTGTGCAAGTATAAGTACTTTCATGACTTCTCCAGGCCTGTTTTTTGCTTTTTTACATTTTAATCTCACAAAGAACAATGACCATGTTGCAGTACCACAGACAAAAACAAATAACCTCTTTAATTTACATGAAAATGTGTGTGCCTGTTTTCTTTCTTTCTTTCTTTTTTCAAAAATATTTAACATAGGTACAGCACCAGTTTCTTAGAAGTGATTACAGCAGCTCTGCAGACACCACGGTCCACAGTTTTGGGCTGAAACTCTGTTTATTAAATGGAAAAGAACAAATTGCAGTAAACTGGAGTTGTAAAGGCCACACATGGCAAACCAACGACCGCATACAGCTTTCTCACCAGAAACCAGCGTTTGCGCGTCTCCAGGCTGGGAGTTAAGGAGCGAATCGTGACGCCCTTCCCGCCGACTTTACAACCGGAGACAAGTGGACAGCAAATAAGATCTGTCAGAACCTAAAAGTGCGTCTAAACTTTCAGTTAAACATAGTAATTAAATGTTATTATATAATTTAAATTAAACATTTTGACTGCTAAATGACACTTTTAGGGCGATTCAGCAATAAAAAAAATAAAATCAAAAGATTTGTAGGCCTGTATAAAAAAGTATTTATTTACAGTATTCTATCGGACTTCATTTCTAGCTTTTAAATTAAAAAAAAATATGACAGGACAGAGGACAGTCCACACAAAACGGAATCCACGCAGGTATTTTTAACAGTACTTGTATACAATTGTAAATTTAAAAAAAATCTAAATTAAAAAAAAGCGTATTTGAAAACTATCAATTCCACGCGAGTTTTCTTCGTGGAATAAAATATTTGGAAACCTTCATGGGTCCAAATGCCGTCACGTAGAGGTTTATTGAGAACGCAGGCACAAATAGCTTTTTAAAAAACTCAGCTTCCCGAAAAGACTCTTTCATTTAATAGATCGTGCAGCGGGTTTGGTGTCGCACAGCTTTTAATTAACCCTCCAGGGTGATGTTTAAAACAGCAAATCAAAGCCATCGGCATCATCAGCACCATCATCATCCATCTGGCAGCTTCAAGTGTGGTCAACACGTGGGACTATAGATTGATCTCATTAGCAGCGATCAGTGAAAGTCAATTAGTCCTGCTGCCAAGACAAATTCGTTAGAGGGGACCTGATTCCTAAATGAAAGTGTAGTTGGCAATTTTTTGTTATTTTATTTGGATTTTTACTAAATTTTGTGGACGCCCAAGCAAATAATGGACATCTGTGCAAAGTTTTTTTTAAACGTGGACTAAAAATGTTTCAAATGTTTGAATCAGTTGTTGCCTATAATAATAATAATAATAATAATAATAATAATAATAATAATAATAATAATAATAATAATAATAATGTACTTGTGTAATAATTCAGATCATAATGTTAAACTTGCTCAAGTCTGATTTCTTGTTTAATGCAATAAAAGCCGGAAAACTAGCACTACAGTTTTTACTCATCAGTCTAAAACATTTGTTTTCTAAATCCGATCGATTCGTTCCTTCTGTGGTTTGTCAGAGTCACGTTTCCACAAATTAAGAGCTGATGAGATGCTGTTATTTGATTCTTTAATTGTCGGAACGAGGACACGCGCGGTAATTATGACAAATGACTAGGCTCCGATATTCTGAAAGTGTTTGACAGGCTGAAAATAACCGTAGATTAACGACGTGACCCGGCCACTTCCTCCTCCATATTTCTCACAGACGATTTTTTAGCCTTTAAAAATAACAATAACACTCATTAAAGGCTATAACGTTTGTGTCAACTTCTGCAAATGGCCCTCTGAGCAGAAAAAGAGGAGGGGGAGGAAGAAGGGAGCGTTTATTTACTCTCTCAGCGGTGAGGTGGAGAGGACGTGCAGTGGCATTTTTTATTTATTTATCTATTTGTATTTGTTTGTTTGCGCTGAATTTATCCAGGTTCTTGTCGGCTTCGGCAGTGACGTATACCAAAAGAAAAGTTGGAAATGTTAACCTCGATTCTCACAGTGGAATTCCAACGGCAGCCCAGGGATTAGATCCCGCCTCTGTAGTGTCAAAGATATCGGCTTCATTTTTGCACACCCAGCGGGGATGAGGCCTTGTGTAAAATGTTTTCTAATAAAAATTGTGATAGGGCTATGCAAATATTCACAAAGCATAAGTCACACCTGCGCACGTCTACATGACTCAGTCTGTTTTCAGAATTCATTATTGGTGTTTTCTTCTTAAATGTAGGGCAAAAAAAGCGCCCTGCTGAGGTCAACAGTCGTGGGGAAAGGATTTATTACTCCGAAGTTAGACTTGTAAGGTGACTTCACTGACCATGTCCACCATCAGCATCATACTTCACTGACATCAGAGTGTTAATGGTAAATTAATGGTCATTTTGAGGGGGAGACCGTCAGGGATGATGCATTGCCAAAACTCACTAGAAGATTCCTTCCATGCGCGCGGCTTTTCGCAGAGCTCCGTTCGTGTGGTCTGCGCGCGGACACTCGCCAGCAAGTCATGAAAAGAAACACGTTTAGTTTTCAGCCTGTCAAGAGAACTACTTTTGTCTGTGATTTGATTTGTTTCCAAGAAATGATGAATGATAACTTGGGATATCAACAGCGGCTAAAACAGTTCGCTGAGGATTATTTCAAATAATAAGAAAAAAACGTGTTATTTTGAGCTTCTCGGCTTCGTCCCATCCTTTTAAAACATCTTTTCATCAGCATTTCACTTACTTTCCTGCTGGGTCGTGTCGCTCCCGCTAGTCAGCCCCGGGGATTCCAGCATATTTCTCCCCGTCTCCCCGACGCTCTCGTCTGCCTGGGTACCGACCATTTCCCCGGCCTCTTCCAGATCCAACAGATGGCTGACTGAGAAGTTCTTTTTGGCTTGCAAGTTGTCCAGGTTAGACGTGATTGGGCTCTCCAGGCGGTTTGGTATCGTAGCTTGCCTGTCCATTACATGTGCATAGCTAGAAGTCATGACGCAAGTGGGAACCAGCGGAAAAAAAGAGAGCGGTAATAAGAAAGAGAAGCGCAAGTGAGCCAAGTAGATCCGTGCATGCAGAAAGCACTAGCAGCGCCTCTAGAAAAACACAGCCAGATAAAAACTCGGGACTTCCGAGCAGAGGGTGGATCTGTTCACATCCAAATCAGCAACGGAGTTCTCAAACGAACTTGTTCCTGCTTTCCCCACTAAATCTTTTTACAGCCAATACATCCAGCAGTACGAGTCAGAGAAGAAAATGACCGACCCGTGTTCGTCCAGTCGCGTTTTTTTTGTTTCAATTTCAAGAAATCATATAAGAAGAAGAAGAAGACGTTCTCTTCCTCCTCGGTTTGAGCCACATATGAGCAGGAAGAGTGGCCGCTGCTGCTGATGACGACCAGATGCGTAAAGTTCTGTGTGCGCACAAATCTGGCTCAGCTGCAGCTAGAGGCACGGAGGCAGGACGTTACCGCCTCACCTTCAGGCTAGCTTCTCTCTCTCTCTCTCTCTCTCTCTCACACACACACACACACACATACACACACACACACACACACACACACACACACACAGCTGGAAAGAGAGACTTGCTGCACTACGAAAGTGGGCCGATTTTCAACCGCACTCTTAATAAGAAGTCCGTAATTGCGTGCTAACGCTTTTGCTGTGTCTGACGTTTTTCATGACCCCACCACCCTCTTCCCCCTCCAGCTGAAAACATCACATCAGCAGCATCGACAGCCTGCCTGGTGTTGGCCGTTTTTCTCTGATAAACCTCAGCTTGAGAGTCCTTACGGGGGATGCAGGAGGCAGCAGAGTGTGAAGGGAGGCACGCTGTTATCTTTGTGTGCTGATAAACCCACTCTGAATGTCCTGCGGTGTGCCACCAGTTAAATCAACCATAACCAGTGCCAGTCAGTCTATCCACAGGATTGTCCGCATGAGTGCTGGCTGAGCTGCCAGCCTAACGGAGAAATGATAGAAGCAAATTACAGGGCGACTATGGCACCAACCATCCATTCTTTCACATTTAGATTTGAAACTGAAAACCGTTCCTTAAACTACAAACTAATTACCAAGGCCAGCGAGAGGTCCCACAAACATCACTCGAAAGTGTATTTTTATAATAGTGATAGTTGTTTGTATTTTATCGTGATTTTTAACAATGTTTTATTCTTCCTTTTTTTAGATCGCGAAAAAGAAACGCACGAGTTTTACATTTCTTGACAGTTTATTTATTTGTATGTTACACGCGATGTTCCTGCCACTAAATACATTCTAAAAACAAAAGAAAAAACAAACAAACTTTTTTTCTTTTTTCTTTTTTGGGTCAACCCACACTTTGTTAGTGCATCTACAAATGTGTTTAGTGGGCACCATGTCTAATCCATGGTTATATGGATATACAGGCACTTGAATAGGCACTGAACTGTCAGGCCTTTAAAGAAATTGAAAGGAATTTTTTCACAATTTTTTTAACTTTATAATTGCAAAATATGCAAAAATCTACATGAGCTGCACTTAAAAAACGCAGATCCCATTCAATAAACATGGCATCCTGTTCACAAATATTGTCCAGGATCTAATATATTAATTTACCAGCCAACCAGAGCCTGACAGCCGTCCCCTGATAGCTTCATGATAGTTTTACCTCTTTCATCACACCATTAAAATATTACACCAGACTAGGATTTTCAGGTACTTTTCCAAATTCCCCTTCCTGTCCATAGCTGAATGCTGAACTGATGGCCTTAAACTGTTTCAGTTTCACTGGTGCCAGTAAAATTTTGATATGTAATAAAAGGCAAAAATTCTGATTATCAGCTGTAATCTTTTCAAAGCATTGAAAATTAAAGTCAGAAATGCTGGATACAGTCCAAAGGACATATCGAGGCATGTTATATGAAAAGGTAAAGACCATACAAGTATCAAAGTGTGAGTCTAAATCATCCCCCGTGAGGAAGAACCTGGCAACGGTCAGAAGGAAAAAACTCCCTTTTTTTAGAGAAGTGAGATGAAATAAGAGACAGACAGAGAAAAAACAGGAGCATAGCTAGGCCACAAACAAACACACAAACAAAAAGGAAAGAAATACAATGTGAATTTATTGAATTTCCTCAAACTGGAGATCTGGGGGGATTTCCGTGTTTCAAATCAGCTAAGGATGAAACAGGCTGAGTATGAAAAAAAGCAGTAAGAATCATTTGTACTGGTACTAGAATCGTAGGGGATTACCAGCACATTTGCCAGTTTTTTCTTTCTTTCTTTCTTTCTTTCTTTCTTTCTTTCTTTCTTTCTTTGCTAGATAAAATATAGTGGAGTGAAATCTAGAAAAGCATGAAATGCTTTGATTATGTATTGACTCCTGTCTCATACACAAGCTAGAGGTTAGCTGACTGAGGGAGGTTGAGGGATGAAATGGAAGGAGCTAATGTTGTTGTAAATGAAATGGTACTTAATTTTTCTACTAATTCAGCATTAAAAACACTTTTATATATACAAGTGTTTCTTTGCAACTCTTGTCCAAGGAAGCTTCAGACTGAAAGAGTGTGTGTGTGTGTGTGGGGGGGGGGATTGAACCGCTTAGCTTCCGATTCGTAGATAACCTGCGCTACCTCACGAACCACAGCCACCCAGTTATGGCAGTGGGGTCATGTATTCAGATGGCAAGAGTTGACTCTAGGCTCTGAGGTGCCATAGACGTCCTGTAGCTTCCAGCCCCTGATCTGGGAAAAGAACACTTGATGCCATCAAAGGGCCACCGATTGAATCCAGATGTGCCTCGCTCGCTCTTTCCATGTATTTAATGAAGGCACAGGGATAGAGTAGACTTTTTCATCATTAGCTTTCCCCCAGATTCGCTTTTCATGGCTACAAGTCGATTCTGGTGCCAGCTAAGGAAAAAAAAAGAAGAAGAAGAAAAAAAAAAGAAAGAATGAAAAATGGGGGGAAAAGGCCTCCCCATGACTCAAGCTCAGTGTTCTCATTCAGGGCCCCTAGTCTTTGTTCTGAGCTCAATGTGAAAGTGACTTGTTTGCCCTGGCTGCTACAGTTTGTCTGTGGCAAATCGAAATGTCCAAACATCTCTGAGACGAATATGCCATCCTGCAGAAGTGATGTTAGCAGGAAAAATCTTTGCACGTGGCTGAAATGGTTTAGAAATCAGTATCAGGGTTAGCACAAAAGTACTTTGCAAATGATTTATTTGTGCACATTATTTTGCTGTTACAATATACGGGTTTAATATATGAATGGATCATAATCTAAAAACACCAAGCCTCAAACACATTTAAAGCACTTCAGAGACAAATGATAACATGGTTCAAATACAAAAATGAGTATTCCACTTATTTCAGCTTCATTCAATACCTTGCACGTATTTAATGTTTCCAATAAATATCATTGTATCAGTCTGTGCATTCTAACATAGCTGACAGACTGACAGAACTGCCCAAAACAGGAACATAGGCCATCAAAGTCAGAGATATTCAGTCATAAATGAATTCCAAGATGTAGTATAGCCCAAGTGTTGTGATCACGTCATACCAGTATAAGCACTTCTTTAATGAGACTGTTTAAAAAAAAAAAACATGCCTAACCAAGTTTAACATTACCATATGAATACAAAAAATGTATGCTCTCCATTTCAGTGTTCTTGTTGCAACACTTTTTTGTATTTATTCTACATTAATGTGACTTTCTTTATTCCCAAAATCACAACCAACAGTTAATTACAAGCTTCAAGTGGTTTTGTGTGTGTGTGTGTGTGTGTGTGTGTAGGTGTGTGTGTGTATGTGTGTGTGTGTGTGTGTGTGTGTGTGTGTGTGTGTGTGTGCTTTTTTACATGATGTGTTACATCATCTGTTTGAGTTTGACAGGCAACTTCTGGGCTCAGATTTAACTTCAATAAAGTGCATCTCACAAATCTTAGGGCTGTGCACAAGCCAAAAACAGGAATGGTCATAAATTAATGCAAAGTTTCACAAAACGTGTTTTGGTGATGTTTGAGTGCAACCTGATCACAGACTCCTGAAACTTTACTCTCTATTTTATGTCAGAACTGAAAGTGTGTGGAGGGATAATTAGAGTTTGCACTGTTTTGCAGTTGGTGGAGGAAAAGTGAAAAAGTCTTTATGAAGCATGTCTAAACATGTTCTTTCCCTTGAACTATTCTATCATATTTTTTGTTTGACTTGTTAATTTTCAATCTTTAGCCTGCATCTGCACTCTATAAGGCTTCCATCCACACACAAGAAAATACAGAACAAATATGACAGATTCTGGTTGATGAACTTTTTAATATGTAATGTTAAAAACAACCACTTTCAGAATCCAAAATTAATGTCAAAAAGAAATTATACTTCTATAATAGTTAGAATTGAGCCGCAAGCTGTACATTGATGGATTCCATTAAATTAATTTTCAGAATTCACAGATGACACGACCTAAATATTAGCAATGCATACGCATTGTAAATACATAGGCATAGAAAAATACAGTGACTTATATGCTGATGTTAGTTTGGTTGTGTATTGGATTTATTTTTCAGGTTTTGTGATATTTTCCATTTATATAAATAAAGTCATATCTCCAAACTGAACTTTGCTGCTTTTGTTTAGTTCATTAGATTGTTATTGAACTTGGAGAAAACAGTGCATCATGTCACTTACAGTGTATAAATGTTTTTAAAATAAGCAACCAAAAAAAGATCATCTGAATACTAAGATCAAAACGTGGAAAATGTTGCACCTTATACAAAAACGGAAAGTCTCATAAGAGTGTCATTCCACAAATGTTTTCTCTTTATTTGCACAGAAACAATTTAAATGCAAATATAGCAGTTACAGCTAGTCAAATCAAATCACTCGTGCACTGTGTGAATTCTGCAACATGTACTTAGAATGCGCAGTAATAATATTAATACTGTATTCTGTCATTTTGGGCCCATGCACTTCTTCCACTACTTGCCAGTCAAAATATACAGATTTAAACCAAAACCCCCCTCTTGGTCGTAATGTGTTTTCTTTGTCTGCTCATTGTGCATTAGCTCAGTCCCTCTGTGTAGCCTTGGCCCCGGGCTGAGGATGATGATGATGATGAGGGGCCCGGCCCGCCGCCGCCGCTGTCCAGTGACCCCTGGTGCTGATTGGAGTAGCGTTTTGGCCCCTGTCCTGTTTTATTTCCCTAATTGGGAGTAAATGGCCTCCTTGTTGACTCTTTACATCCTGTGCAGGGAACCATATGTTGCACACACGCCCACCCCCTGCACGCCGCCTGATTGCAGCGGCTGCACCGGGATTTCTCCTCGCGTACCGACCGCTGCGGCTCTCTCACACAGATTCTAAACTGATTACAGTTTTCAGAGACAGCTATCGGGGTTTAAGTAGGAATGGTGATAGATCAATAACCAAAGACCCCAGAACTGTGCAAATCATCTGACCCTGTTATCGTCTTAAGCGCACAGAAAATAAGGAAAATGTGTTATTTGCTCGAGTACTTCTGATATTGCATTTCAAAACATAACATTTAGGCCTACTAGGCTGAACTTCACGCATTCTATTCATTTATGCGTTTATATGTCGTAATGCTGATTTTCCTATTATGAGATCACGAATGGATAATATTGCTTAAATAAGCAATGTGTTTAAATAAAAAAAAAAAAAACACAACTATACAACATAAAGTGCCTAGTGAGGAACAGACGGCAAAAAACCCTCGAGCTTTGTATGAAAATATAGAATATTCCAGACTTTGATGGCGATAAAAGACGTTCGCGCACAAACAGCCATAAACAATAACTTTATCTCCATTTGGAATGTGCAAAGTAACTCCAGCTGTCAGATAAACGCGGTGTAACAGTAATTGCGCGTAATTGCGAGTAAATGTACTTCATGTATGTGTCCCCTCTTTATATTTTATGACTGGTTTTGTTCCGCTGCTCTCTCCATTGTTGCAGGCGGCTCACATGCAGCACTGTTGTAACTGTAAACGGTCTGTGGTGTTCCGACATAAAAAAGCAAATCTGCTCCTGATTAAAACAACACGGAGAGTTTACAGAACAAGTGGCCGTGTGAGATTAATTCGGCCGCGCTGATTCTCATTATTACAAAGCCCCAGAAACCGCTCGGAACAGCCTGCAACCAGGGACTCTTTAGAACTCATCATCATAAGACATACTGTGTAAATAAATAACTACTTCTCCTCATAAAGTCTTGGGTCCGATATTTATGTGTTTAAGATTTAATTCGTCTTTGTTTAAAGTTAGGGTGACTAATTTCATTTGATATATAAATGCATATGACTATTTGTTTTAATAAATGAGTTTATTTTTATTTCTTTCTCCCCTGAAATAAATTTCTTTTCCTTTTAAAGTAAAACAGCCTTGTCGAAAGATTTCTTTGAAAGTGTAGCTGAAACAGGCACAGCACGATTTCAACTCTATGGTTCACATTTACAAAGATTGAATCTACTGGCGGGATCCTGAGCATTAATTCGGCTCAAATATTTAAAATTCAGAAACAGAAGTGACATTTGTTTCATTTTCTGGTTAGTTTCTTAATTTCCAGAGCAGATCGTTAACAGAATAAGGAGGAGATCCCGTATAAAACACCGTTTCCGCTCAAAAACGTTGATGGCACACATGCTTATCTTGTGCCGTGGTACTGAGGTTGAGTTCAGAGTTCACTCTGCGTGGAGGTGAAGTCCGGCTCGTCCAGATGGCTGATATTTTTAAGAAAACTTGATTTCCCCCCACCCCCCACCCCCGTTTCTCTGTGGCTGCCGGACTTCTCGGGTTTCAGGGTCTTTCTCGACCTGTCGAGGGACGGCAGCGCCACATAAATCACACTTTACTTTATAAACCCTCTGCTCTCTGAAGTCCGACTCAGGACCCAACACACACACTCTCTCTCACACACATGTATTTCCAATGTACAAGCGATTGCTGTAGATTGAAGCCCCGTTGGATGCCTTAATCTGCGCTGCCTGTATCTTCTCATTTTTCTTTGTCATAATTCAGAACACATTTCCTTTCACAGGGAGTCCCCTTCGGAGTTATCTGGGAGGACTGCAACACTTTTAGACTAAAGCTGCAGGAGTGATGAATCGAATGTAGAATAAACAATATTATTTTTGAGCATATGGGAGAATGTATAGTCTAACATTGTCAATAAAATTAGAAGAAACGTTAATAAAAGCAGCCGCAGAATAAAATAAAATAGCTGAAAACAAAAGTATTTTGCCGTGTTAACATACATGTTTGTTTGTTTTTTTATCATATAGTTGCTTTCTAGTGCAAAACTTATTGAATATTAGTTAAAAGATGGAAGGGCAGAAATTTTAAACAGTCATGAGATTCTACAGGGACTGTGTTTGTGTCAGGTGTGCTCTGATTCTCATGTTTCTGTGTGTGACTAAACTAGAGTCATATTTGTGCTGTGATTCCTTCAGTACACAGAGCAAGTGGATATTATAAAGTCCTCTAAATCTGACTTGTGCATTGCATGCCAAATGGTTGCATTCATGCTGCTAAAGTTACTGTATATTCTGGTTATTTGTGTCATTTTTACTTGTGTGAAATGCCCACCCTGGAAAGATCAAACGATCTGACTGAGTGACTACACAAACTACAAATCAGACCGGATGTTTTTTGCAAGCTTTTGGTATGTGACAGCGTTTCAGACTAACCAACCCTCTCATGTTGCCACAGCTACTCATATAGATGGAAGCAGCATTTAATGTTGCAGCCGGTCCAAGTTGAGCTACATTTCTAAAGTCTGTAAGAGTCAGTTCAGTTTTACAGATAAAGAGCTGTGACTTAGGATATATTTGAAAACGGCATTTATCCTAGTGATTACCTTTGAAAACAGTACTTTAAGGATATTCTAGTCTCTACTGCAGACCAAAGTGACATGACAGACATTTTTATGTGCACATAGTGTGAATCAGGGGAGTCATTTATGTGGATTAAAAATGACAATGTCTTCCTCTTAAATATAGTAATAAAGATCGGTATACAAGTATGAAGCTGCATAAAATTACAATACTCCTGAAATGCACAATTTAAAATAGCCGAGTTATGTAGCCTATATGAGAGTATACTAGATTACATTTTATTTTTAAATGGATGCTCAACAAAATGACATAACAATCTGTTTTAGTTCATTTGGGTAATTGGGAACAGAATCCTAGAGGTTCTACAGGGACAGACGGACGGTGGTCACTCTCCTTCTGTGAACTTAAACCTTCCGACTAATTAAAAAGCTGCTTTTACGGTCTCCCCTTCAGACAGCCAGATGTGACCGGGGAGCTGTAAAATCTCAAAGCAGTATACAAAAACACTGCACTTTGAAAAACTTTGAGAAAGCGATTGGAGACCCAAAGTGGTCACAGTGTAAATTCCTTCCCACACAGCAAGCTTCAGTTCTGTAGATAACCTTCTAACAAAAAAGATGAACGCAAAGAAAATACAAATGGAAATTTTCAATTTAAAAAAGTTTATTTTAGTAAAATATTACCCTTTTGTACATCTCTAAAATATGACGTTTTAAAATATTTTTTTTTACCCCATTTAAATAGCCTTTATGTATTTTTCTGAACACACAAATGAATCAGACTTTGGTAATTTTCACTTACATAGATTTACATTTACATTAGATTCTTATACATTTTCTGACACGCTGTCAAAAATGTACGCTAAGAGAAAAGATAAGCTTGGAGTATGCAGAAGCACATGCAGCTGAGAGCATACATTAACAGATATCACCTTACCGTGCAAGCCCACTGCTCCTTAGCTGAACTGACAAGAGTTCTAGCTTTGTGAAATACAAGCCCAGCACCAGCAAATAGCGTCATCTACAACACATAAGTCACGACAGTTTGTATTCGGAACAGAAAGGGATTAATGATTAATGCCTCACTCCATATGCATGAAACGCCGGCTTTCTGCAAAGTAAACACAACCAGTCCTTCCACTTTTACCACAAAGACACAACAATCAAAAACACTCATCTTCTGAATTCGACCCATGCTCAGAGATGTGATGGAAAACCATGTTTGGAAGAAGAGGACTTTGCTTTTTAAGCACACACAAACATAAAAGTGCACACCTGAAGTTAACAGCTACAAGATACCCTTCGATTTACCCAGCAACTGAACACGACTCTGGCCAGTCTATTGCTTTAAATATTTCACTCAAAGCCAGCGGGAATACAGTACTCACGTTTCTCAAGCCCGATATATTAATGTTCTACAAACTCTTTATTTAGCAAAAGGAGGTAAAGTTCTCAATGTTTAAACAATTAAATAGAAGCAGCCTCACAAAAAATAATTTAAAAAAATGTGTGAAACACATAACACCAGAAATCAGACCAGATGTTCGAGCTTTCGCTACATGAGTTTTTCAGACTAACCAATCGTGTTAGTAACATACAGCTTTCTATGAGCTGTGACTTTTTAAAACAAAAATACAACCCAAAACATAACGATGCTTCTTCTGTATTAACCAAGGCTGTCAAGGATGCCAACATGGAAAAGTTATCAGCTGGAGAATCATGTTGTAAGTGTTTTTCACTTTGTATTGTGTCTTTTCCCCCTCCCCTTTGTCTATCTGGAAACGATGCTTTGCTAGCGATCAGTCTGTCTCGTCAGTGTAAAGTTGTAATTTTAAAAATAAAAAATAAGTATTGATTTTAAACAGGCATACTATGCTGTGGGGAATATTTTTCTGTCATAGTTACAGTACAAAGTTATTTGATGTAAATGCCATGTTTAACTAGATGATAACAACGACGTGACTCGTGTGCTCTGGCCTCAACAGTCAGACAGATTTTAGACTGAGGTGTGGCAGTGATCGCCACAATCTCATCAGCTGTTCTGCCCACATGTGATGGTCAACACCTTGATACAGACACTTGATACAACATCTTTGTTCAATTTGTCACCCATCAGTATATAACAGATATTTATAGAGCACATAACAGATTAAGATTGCCTCACGACACAGCCACAGATTCACTCTGAAGACAGTTTTCTAGTGTTTTACAGTCTTGCTCAGAATCTCCAGTCTCTTCCTTCACAGTCTCTTTCTCCTTAGGTCCACAATCTTTAGTTGATTCCACCTTTACCTCCTGACTCTCCACAGAGCCATTTTCCTTTTCCACGTCTTTCTGCATCTCTAAGTTTCTCCTCTCTTCTTCGTTTTGCCTCTCCAGCTCCTCTTCAGAAGCCTGAAGCTGTAGCTGCTGCATCAGTTCCTCCAGCTTGTGGGCTTTGCGCAGCTCATTTTGCTGGATGATGGCGCAGAGATGCTCTGTCAGCTGTTCCTTCACCTCCGTTTTCTTGTGAAGGTCCAGCTTGGCTATCACGTATTCAGCTTCTGCCCTCTCATAACGCTTTCTGTGGAGAAATAAGAGAAGAAAATAACTAAGAAACATGAAGAGGATCAAAACAGTACACTCAGAAATGATATGCTGTTTTTGAGCTCAATTTCCTTGACGAATAAGTAACCGTTTTATTTTATTTAGAATATGTGCTGAAAAAGATCCAAGTATGCCTGTTTATTTATATTTCATAAGTGCTATGACCAAATATCCTTGGTCATATGACCAATGTGTTAGGAAATGTGTTCATTTGTTCTTTCTGCTTTTTGTCAAACCTTAACCACTTAGGAACACAAATGGATGGATGAATGGAAGTCAAAGACTTGTATATGTATACAGTAGTAAAAGTAGTAATTTCTTAACAATTCATCTAAAACAGTTGCTATTGTTAATAGTGACATTAAATAATAAAGTTAGTAAAGTTAGTTAGTACTTTAGTAAATAAAGTTAACGCAGTAACTAATAACTTCAATTCTTACTGAACTCTTCATTTAGTGAGTAAATATCAAAAGCCTGCGTAATAAAAAGTTTCTCCATTTTGCTCCATTTTGGGAACAGAGCTTACGTTCTCTGCTCTCTGTGTCACAGCACACAGCATTAGTTATTTTCCTCTCCCACATTTCGTGAAGACCGTCTTCCATTCTGCCTTACCCTAGCCATCTAACTGTACCAATACACGCTAGTCACCCAGAGGCACAGTGAGGGCATGTCTTCACAGAATGCAATCACTGATACTGGGACTGACAAATACTGGAGACCAGAGTTCATGGACTGTGATGGTGATTTGTTTGATGATGAAGTTTGTTAAAATTAATGTTTAGAAACTACACACACACACACTTTAGTTATTCAGCAACTAACAAAAAGGTCAATTCAGCAGTGCTTGCATATACTTTAGTTTTTTTTTAAATTTTCTTTCATTTGGTGCTTATTAGGTCTGGAACACCGTGCACTTCAATGAATGCAAAAAAATGACATGCACAGTTGGTGACTGAACTAAAACCGACTGTACTGGCAGTGTCTCGTAACATGCTGAGAGCAGATGCTTATTCTCTCAGAATGTCTGGATGCAGAAATATTGTTTTAATTGCAAAGGACAGAAGACCACATGGTGTTTGGAAACACTGTGGTAACAAACCAGATGATGCCAAACATTTCCAAAAATCAAATTTCACCTCTAGCTATTATGTTGCATCTCAGCAACATCTGAACAACTGACTAAATCAGCATAATCATAACAGAATCCAGTGTACCGAGTGTGTGAAGGTCGGGGTTGTCTTTTCATTATACAAACACCTGTAATGATACAGGGTTAATGTCACTACATGACAGACTGCAGCTTCATGAACTAGGTCAAATACAGAGTTACCATATCACAGGACAGAAGACTGTTTACAATGGGAAAGTAAAACATCATAATACAAGATACAGGTTTAACTTCCTGTATTTCATGATAAATGAATCATGATTTTAGCTGTTCTGTCCTCTGCATGGTGCATATATTGTGAAAGGTTACATGAGTACTGTAGGGGGCAGTGTTTCTATGGTTTCAAAGCACAGCCTGTACTAGCAAGAATTTATACTTTTGAAAATAAAAGCAATAAAAAGCAACACACCCCCTTAGGAGTTACTGTTCAACAAATTGAATGACAGCAGAAACGGTTTTCGGAGAGGCTCCAGGAAGAACATCAACGTGACGCTAAGGCTCCAATGGCTGTTTCACACAGCATTTTTCTCCACTCTCATCACTGTGTCATATATAGATCTGACTCGGGGCAAAGAATAAATGAAATGGTAAATGGCCTATATTTGTATAGCGCTTTACTAGTCCCTAAGGACCCCAAAGCGCTTTACACATCCAGTCATCCACCCATTCACACACTGGTGATGGCAAGCTACATTGTAGCCACAGCCACCCTGGGGTGCACTTACAGAGGCAAGGCTGCCGGACACTGGCGCCACCGGGCCCTCTGACCACCACCAGTAGGTAACGGGTGAAGCGTCTTGCCCAAGGACACAACGACCGAGACTGTCCAAGCCGGGGCTCGAACCGGCAACCTTCTGATTACAAGACCAACTGCCAACTCTTGAGCCACGATTGTCCCATATGAAGCGTTTACATTAAAAGCAACCTTTGATGGTCTACAACAATCTGAAATATAACCACAATGGCACTGATATCCATACTGTATCTAAAAGAAAAACAAAGTCACTGTAACATCACCCACCAATTCAGACTCTGCATTTTGAATCATCGACACATCATCAGATGGTGGACTGCTAAACCAAGCTTCGAGGGATAACACTAACAAGTTTATTTAGCAGTCTGCCTTTTTAAACTGTGCAGATTCACTACAGAGGTTCACATACACAGTCCTGCTAATCAACACGATGTAGAAGACCAATAAAAATCATTAAAAATTCACTCAGGAAAAACTAGCACAAAATTCTTGGATGGTCTGTAGCGCAGAGTTACTGTCAGGTGATAAGCAGTTGAACAAAAACAGCTGAATGGAGGAACTGCAGTTTTGACACTTCCATGTTTATTTTCAGGCACTTGCATTGGGATCAAGGAAATTTTTGTCAATATTCATCCCTAGTGGAGAGTGACACTTCAACTGGTCAACTGACATGCATGTGTGGATGCATTTTAATACCTAAGGTGTGACCTAAATAATGTGATTGCATCACAGCTACCAGGTGTGACTTGGGCATAAGTGTACTGGTGGGCCATGAAGTCATTAAAAACACATCTGTGCTTTTAATATTGTGACAAATTCACATCAGCTGTGGAAAAAGGTTTACTGAACACTTTCTTTTATATTTTTTCCTGATGTTAAGGCTACCTTGCAGCTGTGTAGTCCCAACTGGCTTGCTCTATCTTTCCTCTCAGGATGCCAATGTCACAAGACACCATGTCATCGAGGGCTTGCAGCTCTTTCTGGATTCTCTTTAGCTTTACAGTCTCTTCCTGAGTCTGTTTGGATCTGTGGAAAATAATAAACCATTCACACATATTGTTTTTTTGTCTTGACCTTAATCGTTGCAGTTTTGAGGCACATTTATATTCATCATGTTGACTTGTTACTCTAGTGATATTTAAAGGGGGCCTCTTTTGAGCCTCTGTGTTCATAACAATTATCAAAAGAATGAAACTATATATACACACTTACTTCTCAGCGATAGTTTTTGCCAGCAGAGCTTTCTTCCGTTTGTTCCTCTCTTCGATGATTTTTTGCTCTTGCTGAAGTTGCTCCAGACGCGTCTTTTCCCGTCTGCCATCACACAAAATGAGAATTTAAACAAATGCATTTGCCATTTCATCTCAGAAAGACCAAACAAAAAACATCAGGATTATGAAAGGAGCAGTGTCTTTCAAAATTGTTCCAATTTACAAACACAACAGCACCCTATGGTATGGGTTTGGCAAATTATTATTTGTAAGATTTTAATCACTGTGTGTTGATATTCTGATTCTGTTTTTTCCAAGTATCTGGTGCAGATCAGAATCTGAATCAGAGAAACCTTATTCATCCCAGAGGGAAACTGAGTAAGATGTGGACAGTGCTGAGGTAGTATGCATGAATTTAATGAAATGTGAGCAACATGTGTACAAGACCGACAGTACTGTCATTTATACAGCACTCAAATCACATGCATCATATAATATGCTTGCTTTGACAGCCAAAGATAACCAAAAGAATCATGCATCATTCTTGTGGATATCACTTTGATCCACATCACCCACCAACCAAGGCCCCACACCCTCCATGAGAACAACAGTCCCTAGCAAAATCGTCCTGCTTCTGCAAGAAAGTTCAACGCTTACAGTGCAAAAGACACTCCTCACGAAGCGTTAAAGGAGCAGGACAAAGAACCCAGAGTTTTTACAGGTCTCCCAAACTACACACATCTAAATCTGTTCCAAATCTGAAACAAGTCTGTTCCATAGAGGCCATATTTTGGAAATCCACAGGAACCAAAGGATCCACAGCCACTGTTACAATGACAGGATACCCTGACAAGTCCTGTGTCCTGGAAGTACGGAAATCAATAATTTCCAATGATTTGTCTATACAGAAGCACAGGCGTTTATTTTCCACAACCATCACTTTTATGTTTGACTAGAACATTAACTAAACATTGATACACCACTGATGAGTGCTATGCATCCAGCAGCAAAGTAGGGCAGAGAGGAGCCATCTACTCTGGTAAGTTAAAGTTTTGTTTCTCACCCAGATAGACTGCAGATACACGCAAAACCACAACACACATTAATGATACAAAGCACTGCTAGAAACCAAATGTATAGAATTACAGTTAGGTCCATAATTTATAGGACAAAGTGAGATTTTCTTTAAATCAGTTTTCTCTTTGTACAACACCACAGTGGATTTTGGATCAAATGATCTGCATGTGACCAAAGCACAGATCTTCAATTTATTTTAATGGATTTAACAGAAGGATAATTTCAGCTACCAATCTTTTTGGAACATTTTCCGCAGGACTGTCTCTGAAACCCAATGACATATATAATGATTGCTGTGAAATTTTAGCTTTATATATGAAAAACTTTCCCAGACTTTTATTTTAAAAGATGTATTAACTAGAGTCCGTTGTTATGATCTCAAATCAATGTCACGATTGAATGTCAACATTCAACAATGTCAACATTTCCTGGCCAGAGGAGTTACGTGATAACCCATTTGGTACTACATTATAAAGGGGGCATTGCATACTTCTAACAAAGTCAAGAACACTCCCAAGGAGGTGGGTATCATTATCAACATCTAAAATCAAGATGTACTTTTATGTGGGGAAATGCAAAGGTTTACTACTACTAATTACATTCAAGAACAAGAAGACCAGAGTAGACTTTACCAAAAAAACATCTGAAAGAGCCTGCTGAAAATTAATTCTTTGGCTAAGTAAAATCAACACGAATTTGTATCAGAAAGACGACCCGATAAAAATATGCAGGAAGACTGTTTCCAGTTATTAAAAATTATCCTTATATTTAAAATTAAATTTGGCCAAATGCTTTTGAGCCTTTGAATATGGGGGACTATGCATAAAAATGGGTATGGTTTCTAAACAGTTGATGATAAATTTTTTCTAAAAATGTTATTAATCAAAGCTGAAATCACATCTTGATTGTTTTAAAATCCTTTGTAGTAAAACTGCAAAAAATGTGTTTTTTCCCAACAAATTTTGGATCTATTTGTATATTTAGGTTCACTGTGATACAGTCTCAAAGAAGAGCACAGAATGGCCCAGCATGTGCATGAAAACACACAATTATGTTTACATATTTGGGCATGTTTGCTACCCTGGTATTACACCTACTATGTAAATATTGGTCAGTTTACCTGTCATCTTTACAGTGCACGTGAGAACAAAATCATACTAACAATTCAATCTCTTGCTTATCCAGCTCTTTAACCACTGGGGTTTCTTCTTCTGTAGTCGGTTGGTCGTTTTCATTGTGCTTCATTATAGTGGGCTTCTGCTGCACCTCTTGTTTGACAGTGGGTGTTGTCGCCGGGGCTGTGGGTTTAGGCTCTTCCCTCGGGGACGGTTTGGTGAGTTGTTGTTCGCGTGAAAGAACCAGTGACTCGGCTCCTACGTTTTTCTGGGCTGCTGACTGCAGGGCTCTTTCTCGCTGCAACTGCTGCCGACTCCGGTTACCTGAAGCTGGTTTTCGACCCCGGACTGGAGGTGCAGATACAGTAGAGTCTGAAAAGTACACGTGACCATGGTTACTACTAAAAAAAAAAAGAAGTAGGAATAAAATATCAGAATGAAGTGCTGAGTGTTCCGACTCTCACTAGCTTCAAGAAAGGTTAGCGTACCCTTTTGCTGTATCCTGCGCAGCTCCTCGTCTGAAAAACCGGCCCAACCGCTCATTTTGCAACTCGACTAACGAGAAACATGTAGGAAATACTCAAATTACTTAAGACTACAAAGTTTTTAATTCAGAGTAAAGTTCAACGAAAGTGTAAACGCCACCGCCATCTTTGTTTATTAATGCCACGTCTAGGACCCCAAAAAGACCCACGAAATTGAAGTCCTACATATCGCCTGAATTAAAACAATAAAGAAGAAAGAACTAATTTGAAATCTAATTGAGATCATCAACAAGAATAATAGCAGTATATTCTTTAGATAATTATACGTTGATGAGCTTAAAATGTGCTTCGAGTTATTTTATTTATTTTCGCAACTTAATATCATTTGTATAAAAAATATAAAAGGCAACGTTCTGAACACCCGATCAACAGACTGAAAATGTTCTTGTGCTCTGTGCTTGTGGCTTGATAGTCATTAAGTGTTGTTGATTAATTAATTGATTTTTACACACACACACGCACACACACACACACACACACACACACACACACACACACACACACACACACTAGGATGCATTATTTATCACAAAACAAAACAAAAGAAAACTGAGAGCTAGTGGATACTTGTAGGACTTTATACAACAATTTGATTACTTCCTAAAATTAAAGAATGCACTTGCAAGTTCAATGAATGGGAATACTATGGAAGGCAACTGAAGTGGATGATTAAGGTTCCCTTTCTCTTCTCTGGGGGAAAAACTCTCCTGAAAATATCTCACCAAATGAAGAACACTTTCACTGAAGTATCTACAGCCATGAGATGCATTTATTAATTCAAAGACAGAGTTTACGTCAGCAAGATGTACAAGTCTACAGGGCTATACTCTCTTAATAACATTTTAAAATTCACACAGCAGTGGGGAATACATTTCAGTACAGTAGGCATCTTTCAGGAAGTAAACTAAATTTAAGGATATTAAGGATTATATTAAGGATGTTTAATTCCTCCATTGTTACTCTCTTCAATACCATGTGCCGACACAGTACAGAACAACTACCCCAGAAGTCAGTTATCTCATTAGTAGTGCTACATCCTCACTGCATACGACCCTTGATACTGTGGCTCCACTGAAAATAAAGCTTCAAATCAAAAGCACTTGACTCCCAGGCATGACTCTCAAACGTGCGCGTTAAACCAGACAAACAGTAAGCTAGAGAGGAAATGGCAGAGTTTGTTGCTCCATAAACAAAGGAAAAACAACGATAACAACAAAGGCTTTCCTAAAGCTGGGACATCTTACTTGTATCACTGATTCAAGAAAAGAAGAACAACCCCATGTTTTTCTTCAGTACTATAGCCCAGGTGACAAAGAGTTAGAGCTCTTTGAACTTTCCTCTCACAGTAACTAGTTGTGACTTAATACATTTCTTCAAGAAAAAATGTAACAATTAGAGAAAAAACAATCATATTCACACTCAAAGAAGTCCTACCATTAATTAACACTCTGATCTTAAATATTAGTCTTTCTATTAATGGCCTACATACCACATGTCTGTAAGGTGGCAGTAATTAAACCAGGTTCAGTCAGGACAGGCGTCAAATCTAAAAATAGTCATGAATGAAACAGTTCCGAAGTAAAGCAATCTCTCTCCTTTTATCTCAGACAGCGCTGCAATAAAGCTAATCCCCTCTCAGTTAATATGTGCATCAATCTGATCTGTAGGTGACCTGCTCTACTTCCTGAGCTAGAGCCACCCAGTGGTAGCCATGAGTAAATCCTCACTAGGTTTTGGATAAAGTGTACACTCACAAACCTGTCAAACCTGAATTTGAGACATTGGCTACCATAGCAGTATAGTATTGCAACATGGCGTTTGGGTTTTCTAACTAAAATAGGTAAATAGTGACATAAATATTGCCATCATTGCCAGACCTGGCCCACATCTGTTGACATACACTCAGCCATGACACCAGTCACTCAGAAGTGCCAGCTTGATGCCAGAGCCGGGCCAGACCTGTTTTCTATGAGCCTGGGCCACATAAACCAAACCATAATCAGGCCAGATGTGGCATGCCATCACAAAAACAGAGCCATCTACGCCAGGGCTGGCCCATATCTGGATGACATAGCAGTTACCATGCCAGAAGTCAGCCAGCAGTGCCAGCTTGACACCAGATCCGGGCCAGACCTGTCTGCTATGTGGGCTGCTGCTCGCTCAGCTTTTACTGTTCTGAGATCAGTTATGATCTGCGCCTCATATGGAGACACAGCTAGCATTAACAAGTAAACAAGCTTCAGTATTTAAGCATCTTAACAGATGAGTGTCCTCTTGCTACCCACATTGGCCACCATGAGTGAGGAGAGGAGATGCTTTTAACAACTGCTTTATTAGATCAGCAAGGAAAAGTCTGATAATGTTGGAGAGTGGACGCGAGCTCCGACTATATATTATTAAAGTAACTTTATATTCAAGTAAATGAGCTCAACTCTAAACATATGCAGTAATAATGTTAATCTATTTAACACAGATGGGGAAAATTTTTATGCAAAATATATTTTGTAACTTTTTGTAATGCAGTTTGATGTGTACTGAGGTGTGGGAAGATGGTGGGTATTGTTTCCGCTTGCCTTTCTGTAAGTCACCAGATGGCAGTAAACTAAACCGTTACTTAAAAAGCCATCACTTCACCCAGCTGGGTGTCACTTACCACCCCTTGTCTGCAATATTCCTGTGTAATATTCAGTACAATGTTTATCAATGCTGCCAAATGTAACAGTATATCTAGTACAAAACACCACTGCTGCAACATGGCACAATATTCAATAACACCCACATTCCACAACTTCTGCTACCCACCATCAAGTGCAATATCCTTCTTTTGACAAGTGCAATATCTTTTTTTAGCAGAACTGTATTTATGTATGTTTATACTTTTATTTTTGCTATCTTATTATATTTTCTATTTTATTGTATCTAATTTCGTGGATGAATGATGAGCGTAACCAAGTAAAAATGTATGTATGGTAGTCTGCTGAAACGTAAGCTCTCCTCCAGTTTTACTGTACAATACCCAAGTACCGCGACAATTTAGGAATCTTTATCTTATGTTTATCTTTAGTTGTAGGCCAATCTCGAACCTCCCTTATATTCTCAAACATTCTCTAAGAGCACTTCTCTCTCACACTGCGGGCTTACTTATAAGTAGAATGGGAGGCAGAGCCTCCAGCTTTCAGGCCCTCTTCTGTGGAACCAGATCCAAGTTTGTACTTGAGAGACAGACACGCTTTCTACTTTTAAAATTAAGCATATGGTTAGGTCTAGATCAGTTCACCTTGAATCCTCCCTTGGTTACACTGCAATAGGCTTAGGCTGTTGCGTTGATGAGTATTTCTTCTTCACTCACCTTTTTCAGTCACTGTGTTTTATACATCACTCTGAATTTAGTCATTAATTATTATTAATCCCTCTTCAACAGTGTGTCTCTTATTCTGTCTTCCCCCCATCACTTCCAACCAGTCATGGCAGATGGCTGACCCTCTCAGAGACTGATTCTTCTTGTTAAAGTATTTCCTTCTCGCTGTCGCTAAAGCGCTTGCTCAGAGTGGGTCGTTTGATAGTTGGTGTTTCTATCATTGCGGGGCCTTTGCCTTCAGTTTGAAGAGCCTTGAGGCAACTGTTGTGATTTGGCACTATATAAATAAAAATGAACTGAATCAAATTGAATATAATATAATGAGTGAGTCATGGTGAAAGTGAATGCAGTGGTCTGTTGACTGCAGGCAGGGCAAGAAAAGAATTTCAGAACTGCCCTTAAAAGACCTGGATCCACATTTTTGGTTTTAATTGCTTTACTGTACTCATTATGATCTGAATTTAACATAGTGCAGGGTTTTCCATTTAGCCAGTGTGAAGGCAGAGTTTTTTCCTTGTCATTGGTGAAGAGAAGAATGGTGTAAAAACAATGACCCCTGCCTGGCAACTAATAAAAACTGGCATTCACATCATTTTTTTCATCAAAAAAACACCTCAGGAGGGCATAAATCGCTGGCAGAGTTGAGGCAGAGCTGGGTATGGAGGCCAGATGGCAAGGAGAGAATAACTTTGGGCTCAAAGTGTGTTGGGCTGAGGATGAGACAGCCTTGGATAGCTGATTAGGAAGGAAGGACCAGATGGCTCATTACTGAGATGACCTGTAGAGGCAGTTTAAGGTTAGAGGTGGAGGAAGCATCTAAATACCTCATATGAATGGATAGTAGTGATAAAAGAGAATGGCAAATGGAGTTACCAGAATGACTTCACTCAGTTCAGAAGTTCACCATTTCAGATCTGTCATCCACATGTGTCAAGGTTTTCCCAGAATCTGAGAAAGTTCTTCCAGTCTATGACACAGCAAGAGGACATTAATCTGAAGTTAGTTTATACATGACTAATTAAAGACAATTTATTTTCTGAGGGCAAAACAAGGCAATGAATTCTGCAAAACCTTCAAAACTTGGCTATTTGCTGTAGTTGTTCCTCTAATTAATCAAAACAACAACCCATGAAATACATTTCTTCAACTTTTTTTTCATCGTACATTTTTCAAAGAAAACTGCAACTCTGGTTGAAAAAAACATTTCTACAATCAAAACTTAAAGGTACATTTGTGTGTACACTGGAAGTAAAAGCCAATTTTAGTAAATTATAATTTGTTTCATGGCCAACACACAGTTATGTGTATTATGTGCAGTGCGTACATTTGGGGGAATTGTAATTTACAAGTTACATTTAGAAGAAACCCTGATCTTATATGTAAATGAGCCAGTTCTGAACAATACTCCAGCTTTGCCACCTGTTGTGTTCTTTATAATATGTTTGGCATTGGACAATGACATTTCTTTATTATTTTATATCTCATACACCATAACAATGGATTTTGGATGAAATATTTAATATGTGTGACTGATGTGCAAATCTACAGCTTTAATTCCCTGGGTTCAACAGAAAGCGTTGCATTAACTGGTGTTAGGAATTACTGGGAATTCTTTAATATAGTCTCCTTTTTTGAGACGTTTAAAAGTAATTGAGCAATTGAGTGACAAGCTGTTTCATGGCCAGGTGAGGCCTGTTTTCTCGTTATTTCATTACAAATTAGAGATCTGGAGTTGATTCCATTTTTTGTCTAAATAAGAGCT